AATTCGACGACGTTTCTGATCATGATGTACATATCTAAATTGTGTACGTACGAGTTAATAAACTTTTTTTTAATCAATGGTTTGTTGGTTCAAATGGAAATGAAAGAAATTCGATTCTTTTAAATAAAATCTAGAATTTAAATATTATAAATAAAGAAATAAATGTCGGAGAACTTTTTTTTATGTGATCAAACATAACTCAATTTCGAATTAATTAAAATCCAATATAATTTCTTATATAGATAAAAGTAGAGAAGAGAAGAGAATAATATTTTTATTTAATTAAATAATTTTAAAAAATTAAATAAAGTATAATTAAATTTTTTTCTTTTCCTAATTAAATATATAATTAAAATAAATATTTATATAAATTTACATAGGTTTATTTATTAAAAAAATTAAAAAATAGTAAATGTGCAAAGAAATTTATTTTAGAGTCTATTTGGTGGAACTTGTTGGAGTTTTTGTTTTTTCTGTACTGTTCATGAGTAATAAATTTAAATTTTTATTGGAACGAAAATTTAAAAGTTACTCTTAAAGTGAGTAAAAGGTGAGTATAAAGTGAGTAAAAGGTAAGTAAAAAGTGAGTTTGTAAAAAGTTTGAATTTGAAACTTTTGATCTTTTATGTTTAAGATCTTTTTAAAGTTAAAAAAAATTTAAAAATATAACTTTTTAATAAATATGTTATATAATATATTAAATTAAAATGTATATTAATTATTGTCTTTATTTAAATTACAGTTTATATGCCATATATTTATGAACAACTATTTCAAAGTGGAGGAAGTAATACAGAAAAGTTAGTACTTAACCATTACATGAATTTTCTAATCTCTATATTACCTAACAGTCAAAGGAGAGCATAGATGCGGCCATCGAAGATGTGTTATCGAAACCGTGGCTGCCGCTTCCTCTTGGGCTGAAGCCGCCGTCTAATGACAGTGTAATGGGGGCGCTGCAACGTCAAGGAGTCCCCAAAGTACCACCTTCCTGTAGTCCTGTGCTTGAGGTCCATTTTACCAGTGAAGATTTGGAGGCAACAGAGGGAAGGCAAGGCGAGAGTACTGATCTTGATTAATTCGACGACGTTTCTGATCATGATGTACATATCTAAATTGTGTACGTACGAGTTAATAAA